TGTCCATCCATCCATCCAATCGTCTGCTCATCTGTCCATCCATCCATCCATCCATCCAACTATCCATCCATCCATCCATCCATCCATCCATCTATCTACATGGATGGATGGATGGATGGATAGATGGATGGATGGATGGATAGATGGATGGATAGATGGATAGATAGATGGATAGATGGATGGATAGATAGATAGATCTACACTGATAGATCTACACTGTGAAAGATATATTGAATAAAATACCTTCATGGAGACTTTTTTGGTAATTAATTCTGTCTTATTGAATGTGAATTGTGAAATTGCCATTATTTATTGTTTGTTTTATATGTCTGTATGTTATTGTACGGCATTTTATGTTGTTTCAATGTAAGTTTTACTGCAATAAAAAATAAATAAAAATAAATAAATAAATAAATAATAAAAAATAAATACAACAATGAATAAATAAATAGTATTTTATGTAGTTTTAATGTGCATTGCGCTGCAACAAAATAAAAAATAAATAAAATAAATAAGAAAATAAATACAAAAAAGGAATAAACAAATGGTATTTATGTAGTTTTATTGTGAATTGTACTGCAATAAAATAAATAAATAAATAAAATTAAATAAATACAAAATCTAAATAAACAAATGGTATTTTATTTTTTTTCAATGTGAATTGTACTGCGATAAAAAAACACAAATATAAACGGCATCTTATTTTGTTTCAGTGTGAACTGTACTGCAATAAAAAGAATAAATGAATAAATTCATGAATGACTGAACAGCCCTCACTGCTGCATTACATCTATCAGACACTCCAGCTTTGCATGAGTTCAGTCAGCATTTCATCCAGCAAGTCTGAATCTACATTCATGCGAAAGCTGTTTAGTACGGCTGAACGGCTGCGCCACATGCCCGAAAGCCTGTTTCCATTTACAGCCCATATGAGGAGAATCATTACCAGAGAAGACATGAATGAATGAATGAATGAATGAATGAATGAATGAATGAATGAATGAATGAATGGGCTTTAACACAGCAGCAGAGCTTTTTATGCACACAAACTGAGTTGAAGCACACATTCACTGAGTGGTTCACCCCAAATGAACACTTCTGTCACCATTTACAGTGTTTATACTAAAAGTACACACTATTTAAAACGGCACTGCTCCATTTGGTATTGTTGGTCTTTGTATTTTAAAGACTACATTTCTTTATTTTATACTTGTTAAGAAGCGTACACTGCTGTTTGTGTGAGTATGCTCTTTCTACCTCTCTTTTTCTCCCTGTCACCTTCACATTTAGGTACCGCCTACATTCGGAACACTATAGGCTGACACGACTGCTAATCAAATCACTCCTGTGATGACATGTATTCCCTCGGCCAATCACAATCTGTGCAGAGACCTGCATCTTACAATACTGCAAATGTGAGCAACCACAATAGTCACATCTCAGGATGTTCTGGAGACTTTTTGATCTTACCTAAGCAACATAACTGATGTTTACACTCACCGGCCACTTTATTAGGTACACCTGTCCAACAGCTAGTAACACATTTCTAATCAGCCAATTACATGGCAGCAACTCAATGCATTTAGGCATGTAGACATGGTCAAGACGATCTGCTGCAGTTCAAACCGAGCATCAGAATGGGGAAGAAAGGGGATTTAAGTGACTTTGAACGTGGCCTGGTTGTTGGTAAGAACAGGAAACTGAGGCTACAATTCACACAGGCTCACCAAAAATGGACAATAAAAGATTGGGGAAACGTTGTCTGGTCTGATGAGTCTCCATTTCTGCTGCAACATTCAAATGGTAGGGTAAATATTTTAACAGCATGAAAGCTTGGATCCATCCTGACTTGTATCAACGGTTCAGGTTGGTGGTGGTGGTGTAATGGTGTGGGGAGATTTTCTTGGCACACTTTGGGTCCATTAGTACCAATTGAGCATCATGTCAACGCCACAGCCTACCTGAGTATTGTTGCTGACCATGTCCATCCGTTTATGACCACAGTGTACTCATCTTCTGATGTCTACTTCCAGCAGGATAACACGCACCTTTGAGATGTGGTGCAACAGGAGACATGGATGTGCAGCCGACAAATCTGCAGCAACTGTGTGTTGCTATCAAGTCAATATGGAGCAAAATCTCAGAGGAATATCTCCAGTACCTTGTTGAACCGATGCTATGAAGGATTAAGGCAGTTCTGAAGGCAAAAGTGGGTCCAACCTGATACCATAAGGTGTACTTAATAAAGTGGCCGGTGAGTGTAGCTATATCAGATGTAAATTTTGCAGCCCTAATAGTCAGTCTCATAAGTTTGGAGCCCAATTTTGGATGGAAACACAAAGACTTTGCAAACGATTCTATTAAAGTAGATGATTATTAAAGTTCACTCAGACATGAACTTACCCATAACTCCAGCTGGTGTTTTGAGGAACTTCCCATTGAAGTGAGAGATGACGGCTTCACATTTCTCTGTTGACTCCATCCTGCAGAAATATATTATTTATTATAGGTTCACACGTTTCAGAAACATCAATCTCTTCATTAGCGCTAGATGTAGATATTGAGGATCATTTCAAAACTCCATGCATTACATTACTAAATTAATTGTATTCTCTTTAGTCTGTTCATTTATTCATTTTCCTTTGGCTTAGTCCCTTATTTATCAGGGGTTACCACAGTGGAATGAACTGGCAACTATTCTAGCATAAGTTTTTATGCAGTGGATGCCTTTCTAGCTGCAACCCAGTACTGGGATACACCCATACACACGCACTCTTGACTTCATCGATCATCCTCTGTACCGCATGTGTTTGGACTGAGGGGAGACCGGAGCACCAGAAGGAAACCCATGCCAACAAGGACAGAACATGCAAACCCCACACAGAAATGCCAACTGGTCCAGCCGGGACTTGAACTAGCACCCTTTTTACTGTGAGATGACAGTGCTGACCACTGAGCCACCTTGCTGCCCAATATATTTATTCATTTTCTTGTCGGCTTAGTCCCTTTATTAATCTGGGGTCGCCACAGCGGAAAGAACCGCCAACTTATCCAGCAAGTTTTTACGCAGCGGATGCCCTTC